TGACACATTAGACCCATCAAGTGTGACACATTAGACCCATCAAGTGTGCCACATTAGACCCATCAAGTGTGCCACATTAGACCCATCAAGTGTGACACATCAGACCCATCAAGTGTGCCACATTAGACCCATCAAGTGTGACACATTAGACATATCAAGTATGACACATTAGACATATCAAGTGTGACACATCAAACCCATCAAGTGTGACACATTAGACATATCAAGTGTGCCACATCAGACATATCAAGTGTGCCACATTAGACCCATCAAGTGTGACACATTAGACCCATCAAGTGTGCCACATTAGCCCCATCAAGTGTGACACATTAGACCCATCAAGTGTGACTCATTAGACCCATCAAGTGTGACACATTAGACCCATCAAGTGTGCCACATTAGCCCCATCAAGTGTGACACATTAGACACATCAAGTGTGCCACATTAGACCCATCACATTAGACCCATCAAGTGTGCCACATTAGACCCATCAAGTGTGCCACATTAGACCCATCAAGTGTGCCACATTAGACCCTGTCTCTTATACACATCTAGATGTGTATAAGAGACACATTAGACACATCAAGTGTGCCACATTAGACCATCAAGTGTGCCACATTAGACCCATCAAGTGTGCCACATTAGACCCATCAAGTGGGACACATTAGACCCATCAAGTGTGACACTTTAGACCCATCAAGTGTGTCACATTAGACCCATCAAGTGTGCCACATTAGACCCATCAAGTGTGACACATTAGAACATCAAGTGTGCCACATTAGACCCATCAAGTGTGACACTTTAGACCCATCAAGTGGGACACATTAGACCCATCAAGTGTGCCACATTTGACCCATCAAGTGTGCCACATTAGACCCATCAAGTGTGCCACATTAGACCCATCAAGTGTGACACATCAGACCCATCAAGTGTGCCACATTAGACCCATCAAGTGTGACACATTAGACATATCAAGTATGACACATTAGACATATCAAGTGTGACACATCAAACCCATCAAGTGTGACACATTAGACATATCAAGTGTGCCACATCAGACATATCAAGTGTGCCACATTAGACCCATCAAGTGTGACACATTAGACCCATCAAGTGTGCCACATTAGCCCCATCAAGTGTGCCACATTAGACCCATCAAGTGTGACTCATTAGACCCATCAAGTGTGACACATTAGACCCATCAAGTGTGCCACATT